CGTCCAGGCTAAAACTTTGGCCTTCATCAGGTTGGAAGAAGATCAGCAGACGCGACATCGGCAGGATGCGTATGACGGAGGGCAGCGTAAATCAAGCACGTCCAAAAAACACGATTACAGGACCGGAAAACCCTATGTCAGAACTGAGGATAGACCGGTCTCGTCGATAGTAAATTGGCTCGATGATCCAGATTTACCGCCTGTCATCAATGACTATTGTTTCAATGTCGCCACTCCAGGCCTCATTCACTCTCTGGAAAAATTAGGGGAAAAGGTCAGATGGCCTCGAAGGACAGACAAACCAGCGGGCCGTCGAGATCCGAGTAAACGATGTGATTTCCACGGCGATATCGGACACAACATGGAAGATTGCGTCGCATTAAGGAAGGAGGTGGCCTATCTGCTGAAAAACGGTTATCTGACGGAGATCATGTCTGAACGCACCAAATCACTGCTAGGACGGAATGACAAAGCGTCACCGAATGGGTCTAGGCCGCCTTCACCCTCTGCGCCATGTAAGGTAATCAACTTTATTAATGGTGGATCTGATTTATGTGGACTAACATATTCTGCAGCAAAAAGACACGCCCGGGACTACACCCGAGACAAGTCGTTGCAGGTTTATAGGATCGGAAAACGTCAAGAGGAATGGAGGAATGCATCAATCACGTTTGACGAAACGGACATTTATGATCCGATACAATCTCATCACGATACATTGGTGATCTCCCTTAGAGTGGCAAACTGCGAAGTCAAACGAATCCTCGTGGACAACGGGAGTACCGCGAATATTACCACCATGAAAACGTTGGAAGAACTAGGGGCCAAGGAGGAAGATATAACAGGTTCCGGGTCAAGCCTAGTCGGATTCAATGGAGAGCCAAGCAGAACCATATGTAATATTTCTTTACCTGTATATACCCATGGTCTAAACATGCAGGTCAAATTCGACGTGGTCGAAAGCATACCAGCGTACAACATGATCCTGGGAACTCCCTGGTTGCATCAAATGGGAGCAATTCCATCGACTTATCATCAAATAATCAAGTTCCCAACACCGTGGGGAGTACAAAGCATCAAGGGGGATCGACAGTCAGCCAAGTCTTGCTACCAAACGGCGATGAAGCCAACTGCGGACCAAACTGCCTCCAGGACCGCATAGCAATTAAAGGGTGGCCCCGCTCTGGTGGAAGATGACGACAAAACAGAAGAAGTTGCCATCGACTCAGAACATCCAGAAAGGGTCATCCGCATCGGGAAAGACATACCAAAGCACCTCAAAGACGAACTGATAAACTTCCTCAAAGAACATAAGGACGTATTTGCATGGAGCCACGACGACATGACAGGTATTGATCCTAATATCATAACTCACAGGTTAAACGTCAGCCCATTACACAAACCCGTCAGACAAAAAAGAAGACGCTTTGCAAAAGAAAGGAATGCCATTATAAACCAGGAAGTTGATACGCTGCTCCGAACCGGCAAGGTAAAGAAGGTAAAGTATCCCGATTGGTTAGCTAATGTTGTTGTTGTTCAGAAAAAGAAAGGGCAAGAAGAAGGCAAGCCAGTCAAATGGAGAGTCTGTGTGGACTTCACTGATCTGAACAAAGCGTGTCCCAAAGATTCATTTCCAATGCCACACATTGACGTTTTGGTTGACGCTACGGCCGGGCATGAAATGTTATCCTTCATGGACGCATTCAGTGGATACCATCAAATACAGCTTCACCCTGATGACCAAGAAAGCACAACCTTCATCACTGAAACAGGTACGTATTGTGATATTGTTATGCCTTTTGGACTAAAAAATGCAGGCGCGACGTTTCAAAGACTAGTCACCTTAATGTTCAAAGATCTAATGGGGGACACCATGGAAGTTTATATCGACGACATGATCGTCAAATCAAAGAAAAAAGAGGATCATATCTATCATCTGACGGAACCCTTCAGAAGACTGAAAAAGTACAATCTGAAGATCAATCCAGCGAAATGTACTTTCGGAGTGACGTCAGGAGAATTTTTAGGATATATCGTCAGTGAACGAGGAATAGAGGCGAGCCCGGAACAAATACGAGCAATTATCGACATTGAACCTCCAAAATCCGTCAAAGATATCCAGAGGTTGACAGGACGAATTGCGGCTTTGAATCGTTTCATTTCAAAATCGTCAGACAGGTGCCATTTGTTTTATGACATCTTGAGAAAAAACAAAAAATTCGAGTGGACAAATCAACACGAACATGCGCTTCAACAATTAAAAGAATATATGATGTCGCCACCACTGCTCGCAAAGCCTAAAAATGACGAAGAGTTACAACTCTATCTGGCCGTTTCAGAGCACGCCGTCAGCGCAGTACTGACAAAAGAGGAGCAGGGGAAGCAAACTCCAGTCTATTACGTAAGTAAATCCCTAAATAGACCGGAATCCAGGTATGCTTTACTTGAGAAATTAGTTTTAGCTTTGATCGTTGCTTCGATTAAATTACATCCTTATTTTGAATCACATACCATTTGTGTTAGAACTAACTATCCCATGAAGTCAATCATGAGGAAACCGGAATTGACAGGTCGCATGGCTAAATGGTCGATTCAACTTGGAGCTTATGACATAAGATTCGAACCGAGGACAGCCTTGAAATCACAGTCACTTGCAGATTTTGTGGCAGACTTCAGTCCAAAGCTCCAAGAGGAAGCAGAAAAAGAGATTTGCACTCTGACCGATGGATTCCCAAAGCAAAAATGGACGTTGCACACTGACGGAGCGTCAAACCAAAACGGCGCAGGTCTGGGCGTGATACTGAAGTCACCACAGGGGGACACCATGCTCCAAGCAGTACACTGTGATTTCACCGCTACGAACAACGAGGCAGAATACGAGGCGCTAATCGTCGGACTCACATTGGCAAGGGACTTGGGCGTCAAAATCCTGGAGGTAAAATGTGATTCTTTACTGATAATCAATCAAACTAACGGTGTGTATGCAGCAAAGGACCCCAAGATGACATCTTATTTGCAAATTGTCCGAGAATTGATAACGGCATTCGACGAAATAACCCTTGAACAAATCCCACGAGAAGAAAACACACAAGCTGACGCTCTGGCCGCCGTCGGATCATGTCTAGGGGCAGAAATCAATCGCAACATCCCCTATGTGCACTTGATGAGCCCGGCAATTTACAGATCAGAGGTTGCCTCTACCATTAAGACCCCGGCACAAGACGACTGGACACAACAATACATAGCGTACTTAAAGTACAATACTCTCCCAAAGGACAGAAAAGAGGCCAAAGCTTTCCTATCCAAGGCAAGTAAGTTCTTACTGATTGATGATGTGCTATTTAAAAGATCTGTCGCAGGTCCACTCCAAAGATGTCTGGCACCGCAAGAAGCCGCCAAAGCATTGAAAAATCTTCATGAGGGAGAATGCGGCAATCACGCAGCAGGACGAAGTCTATCTAACAAAGCCCTTAGATTCGGTTATTACTGGCCAACCATGAGAGAAGATGCGACCACATTCGCCCAAAGATGCAAGCCCTGTCAGATGCATGGACCAATTCGTCATCAGCCCTCCGAGACGCTTCACCCAGTTCTATCACCGTGGCCCTTTATGAAGTGGGGCATGGACATTGTAGGAAAGTTGCCAGAGGCACCGGGGCAGAAAGTATATATGCTAGCAATGACGGATTACTTTTCAAAATGGGTGGAGGCTGAGCCTTTTCGGCAGATACGAGATGACCAGGTGATTTCGTTTATTAAGAGAAATATCATTTGCAGATTCGGCGTTCCTTCAGAAATCGTTTGTGACAACGGATCTCAGTTCATAAGCGCTAAAACCAGACGCTTTTGTGAGAAATACAATATCAAATTGGAAACGTCGACACCTAGGTACCCGTAATCTAATGGGCAGGCCGAGTCTAGCAACAAGATTATCATTGCCAACTTAAAGAAAAGGCTTGAAAAGGCGCAAGGCCGATGGGCTGACGAATTGCCCTTAATACTCTGGGCAGATAGGACAACTCCGAAAAATGCAACCGGGCAAACCCCATTCTCTCTGGTTCATGGCTGCGAAGCGGTCATTCCTGCCGAGATTGAAATACCTTCTTCGAGATATGGACTCATGACGGGGGAATTGAACAATGTGGAGTTGGTGCACGACTTGGACACCATTGACGAGATCCGTGAACGAGCCAAGATCCGTTTGCAGACATATCAACAAATGGTGGCAAAAAGCTATAATAAAAATGTTCGGGCAAAGGTGTTCCAAAAGGGAGATTGGGTCTTGAGGAGAGCATTTGGCAATGAAGCAGCCGGAAAATTCAGTCCTAATTGGGAAGGACCTTACAGAATCATTGATATCGTCGGTCAGGGGGCATACTGCCTGGAGTCAATCGATGGTAAACAAGTCCCTTGAAGTTGGAATGCGGTACATTTAAAGCGTTTTCACTTTTAACAAAAGTTTCTTTTGTTTTTTCTGCATATTTATCCCTATTATTAAATAACTAACTTGGTCGTCGGAGGGCCGTTGGCTTAAGGCCAACGACCAATCCTGACGATAATTGTAAATACAGGAAGACACACAAAAATGGCCAAGTTTCAGGTAATTAGTTACAGTTCATGTAATCTTGAATATAGTAAATACAATTCATCATTCACTAACTTGACCGTCGGAGGGCCGTTGGCCCCAAACCAACGGCCGATCCCAACGGAACGGTATCATTGCAGGACTATGACAAGTTAAGATCAAAATGCCAGAACAACAGAGAGAACATCAGATCTACTCATGACAAAAAACATCAACATACAGGGGACATGAGGCTCATTATGGAGAAACCATGAATGAAGTTCCATGAAACCGAATAAAGTTTTGGCCAAAAACACAAAAACACAAAACACAAAACACTAAACACAGAACACATATATGTTCCTCTACGCACACGGGGCAGGTTACATACGAAAACAACACACGCGTCAACATAAACGACAATCAGGTGACCAAAAGGAGTAGCAACGGAATCACCAAACAACATGGATTTGGCTTGGATAAACCACCAAGCACAATATCCATAAATCCACAGGAGAATATTAAAACCATGATGCAGGGGCAGTAATAGCAGAATGAGTCTTCGAGGCAAAAGCAAATGTTTAAAGACGTGAAAGTAAAGGGGAAGGGGTGCAGTTAGTTATCTTGGGAGCGTCTGGAATCAGCCTCATTATCGGACTGACCAATGTCAAAACCGTCTTCTCCAATTGGGGGATCCATCTCATCTTGAAGCTTTGACCAGGTAGCAACGTCCTGTTCCGCAGCCCAGTTTGACATCTCGCCTGCGAGGAATGAAGTCATCAGTTCACCTCTGGTTTTCCAAGCATAAAAACAGGCCGCGTCAGTAACCTCTTGTTTCTTTTTCCTCCCATACGCTTCCAACGACTTAATACGGGTTTTTAAGGTTGAGATTTGAGTTGTCAAACTTGAACTATCACTACGGAGACTTTGGATCGTTCGAGCATCAACATCAGCACGAGCGTGAAAACTTTTCTCTTTTCTTTTTAATTCGTCCACAGCCTTTTCTAGCAGAACCAACCTTTCTACAGCAACAAGGCTAGCTTGAACACTCTGCCAGGTTAAAACAAGTTTCTCTCAAGAAGGATTAAATTTCTACAGGTACCAAGCACTTACAAAACGACGAGATACCTGGAAAGCAAAAGCCGAGGAAGCCAATGCCAGGCCAGCTGAGGACACATCCTTGAATACAACGGGCAAGGAGGAAAGCAGGACTTGAGGCATTTCACTTCCCATCACAAGAGCATCCTTCAAACAGCAAAAGTCACGAGAGAAAGAAGCATTCATCTTCCCACCAGAATCAGGAGTGGTGGTGGCACTCACTGGACGAGGAGGAGCAGATTTCATCTCTGTATTGGGGCATTGTGGAGTTTTGGAACAACCAGAGGCCAACTTAGATGGGATTTTCTTCTTTCTCGAAACCATGTTAAGAAGATCGTAATCAGAAGGTATCGGCCGTGTGTTAGACGAAGAAACAGCTGCGGCAAAGGAAAACATATAAAACATTCTAAATAAAGCGACATTTGACGAATAATTGAGATAGCTGAAACCAATACCAGCGTGTTGTGCAGAATGTTTTGCTGGAAGAGAACAGGAATCCTGACCACCGGGAAACACCATCTGAAGAGGAACGAAAGCACTTGCATTTTCACCTCCACCCCTCGAGGTTTCTGATTCATGGTCTGAATCATCTACAGAGACCGCGCGTGAATCTTGGGCATCGTCAAGGACGTTCTGAATATTACGGCGAGAGCGCCTTAATCCAACGGACCGGGAATGGTCAGGAGTGGGAGACATACCTTCATTATCAACCACTAGATTCCCAAAGGTCCGTTCGGCAGTAGTTAAAGATAAAATTTTGACAGTCCTTCCTTCAGAGTCTGGACCATAGCTCAAGGGGATAGTCTTCCTATCTAAAAGACAACGACAGTGAAAACGGTAATTTTGACGTATTGCAGACCAGCCGTATAGCAATTAAATACATTTGAACTTCATATGTAAAACAAGGAGTTGTCAAGATACCTTTGTGTAGACTCTCTTCAAGAAATGCGCCCTCAGAACTTAGGGAATCTTTTTGCACAAAGAAGAACTGGCTCATCCAGCCACGGTCATTAGCTTTGTCCGCCCTCAATATCAGCGCCTCGCGAGCATCTTTGACGGCCAGGGTAAACCGACCAGCTCCAGAAGAACGAAGATCATAGGTAAAACCCAGATCTTCGAAGGAGAAGGGGATGCTATGTTTTTCGCTTAAAACTTCTAAACCACGCAGAACCCTCCATACTTGTGGCATTACTTGGGAAGGAGAAACCTTGACAAAGGCTAAGAAATCTATAACTAAGGAAGAGAAAGGGAATTTCATACCAATCTTAAAGGGATACATGAAGAAGTTGACCCAACCGTCACAATGCCAATCAACCCGTTCGTTAGCAGCCGGAAACCGGATGGATGCATGCGCTGGAAATCCGGAACCATTCTTGATAGCTTCGATATGATTCTCCGAGAGTTTAGCCTGTTTTGCATTCTTCGGATCAAGGATGTGTTGAGGGATGAACTGTTGAGACGCCATAGGTTCTCACGATGGATCTCTGCAAGAATCAAGCGAGAGGTACTTCACAAAAGAAGAGTTATGGTTGAAAAGAGACTATTCTGGCAGAGGGTTGGTTACTCGAGGAAGGAGGCTGACGGTTTTGTCCATTTCGAGGTAGCGTCGAAACATTTAAAATTCAAAGAAGTAATCGACCGATTGGACCAAATTGGTAACAATTACTACTTCAAATTTTAGGGGCAATTGTTGGGCCCGGATCTGTCAAGCGAATTGGGCCATTACCTTAGATTTGAGTTTACTGGACGGATCAGCCCACGCGGTCTTAAGGAGTCCACGGAATCCGGCTTGGTCAAATGGCATGACGGAGTGGATAAGAGTGTCTAAGAAGTTGAGGAGAAAATGGAGGAACAGATCCCGATTTTGTAGGGAAAGGCTACCATTTCTCCGGGTAGTTCGTCTGCATGGGAAAAAGAGTTGGAATTTCTATTTTAAATAGACCGGCGGTAGAAGGAAAAGGAACTCAATTAATTATCTACACACTTGTAATACCATTTTTCGAATCATACATCCAGATTAATATACTCTCATTCATTAGCTTTCGGTTCTTATATTGTATTTCTTGTACGATCCCTACATACATATAATTTTAGATTGGTTTAATTCTTGCTTAAACAGGCATTTGAGTGGATTTGAATGTAGCTAAATTTGGGTATTGAAATGTAGACTTGAGATAGTTGGGCATGGTTTATGGCATGTATTAGGCAGTTTGTCACTTATCGGGAGTTGTGTGTCATTTCTGATCGGCATGGAGGTATTGTCAGGGCAATGAATGAGGTGGGCAATACTTGGGAGGAGCCTTATGCGCATCATAGGCTATGTATCCGCCATCTTGCATCGAATGTGCACACTCATTTCAAAGACATTCATCTAAAAAATCTTTTTGTCTGGACCGCACGACAACATCAGAAAAAGAAGTTTGATGGTGGGTTCAAGAAGATAGGTGAAATGAGTTTGGAGGCACGACAATTTCTGGGGAACATTCCCCCGGAAATGTGGTTATTGCACCACGATGGCGGGTACAGATACGGTACTATCACTTCTAATCTGGCAGAGGTTTTCAATAGCGTGATGAAAAATGCTAGATATTTGCCCATCACCGCTTTGGTCCAGGTTTCCTTTTACCGGGTTAGTGCTTATTTTGTTAATAGGCGTGAAACCAGTAAAATGAGAGTGACATAAGGCCACGAGTACTCCCCATACATCACAGATTTAATTGATAAGAATAGAGAGAAGGCCAAGCATCACATAGTTACTCCATTTGTTTTAGGCCGAGGGTTATTTCAAGTGGAAATCGGTTGTGGTGGCCGAACGTTGGGGAAGGGTAGGAGAAAACAATATGTCCATCTGAAACGGAAAACTTGCACTTGTAAAAAGATGGAGATATATAAGATTCCATGCTCCCATGTGTTAGCCGTGTGCAGACAACGTAGCTTGTCTTATGCTCCATTTGTGGATAAGTTTTTCTCATCTGACCAATACGCGGCCACATATCATAGAGTCTTCAAACCCATTCCTGATCGTGATTATTGGCCTACTTACAATGGACTTGAAATCGTGCACGATCCATCCATGCTTCGGGCTAAGGGAAGACCTATGTCGACACGTATTAAGAATGAGATGAATGAAGGTCCCCGAGGAATGGTTAGATGTGGAAAATGCCACCAAACCGGCCATAATAGGGCCACACGTGCGAAGAGATCATCAAGACACGATGGAGGGTCCAGTGGGTAAGGTCTTAATTATAGTAATTCACAGTTCATCTCAGCGTTGCATGAAAACATATTAATTAATAAAATGGATGATTAAAAAAAAGAATTAGTATAATAGTAAAAATTAACTAATACGATTTTGTTTGTTTACAAGCATGCAGGTGACAACGGATCCTAGGTCGAGTGATCAAGATGACCATGACAACTTCTACTTTGTCTTTTGTATTGCAGTTTTTCTTGTACAACATTTTAGATAATTTACAACATTTTAGATGTTGTAAGAACAATTTACAACATTTTACGTATTTTCTCTTGTATGTTGTATTTATGTGTTCGAGTATGAATATTAGATGATTAATTGTTATGAATGTTCGATGATTGTACTGTGTTTTATCGGTGAGTTGTATGTGTTTATGTATGTGTTTGTGAACATGTGTGTTGTATGTTTTATAATTTGTTGCATCTCGCTCGTAACACTTAAACAGGAGAAGGGAAACCTTATTTATAGCAAAAAGATGAGTCTGGGTTGAAATGGGGCAAAAAATTGATGAAATTCTGTTTTCGGAATTAGGCACGATCGTGCCTACCCGTGTAGGCACGATCGTGCGTGGCTAGCAGTAGCGGTTGGTCTGCGTTCATATGGAAGGGGAAAGTCGCCCAACGGTTGGGCGACTTATAAGTCGCCAAACCGTTTGGCGACTTATAAGTCACCTAACCGTTGGGCGACTTTCCCTAACCATGGTTAAACCCAGCAGTAGATCAGTAAATATTTTTTTACCAACATTATTTTCGTAATTAATTAATTAATTAACATTAATTCGGAAAAAAACTCATTAATTGTGTGGCATGAATAGTAAAATGGGAGCTCTGAATAGAATTACCCTTATTTTTTGATATTATATTACGTATATTCAAGGACGGATCTGCCCGGGGGCAAGGGTCTGGTGCCCCTGCTACGAGACAGGGTATAGGAAGGGGGGTGGGGGTGGGGGGCTCTTGCTCTCCATTTCTTCCAGCCGGCAACTGTTTGGCCTTACTCCATGAATATTACTACCTTTTCTATATTTAATAAAACTCCGATAAATGTTCCCCGTCATTTGCCTCATCGATTATGTTGGTTTTCTACTCGGATTTAAAAAAACTATGTCCCACTAATATCTATATTTAATAAAACTCCGACAAATGTTCCCCATCATTTGCCCCATCGATTCTAGTGGTTTGTCTACCGGGATTTAAAAAAAAACTCTGTCCCACTAATATTGAGACGGAAGGGGGGTGACACGTTTATCAAGAAAAGTGAGTTTATGTGGTTGATATTAATTGATAAAGTAAGAATAAAGTAAGAATGATTTATAGCCACACAAACTTTACCAAATTTGGTATGAGACAAATTTAGTGGTATTTCTCGAAAAGGTAAAATGAGACAATATTAGCGGGACAAAGGAAGAACTTAATTAGTTTCAAAAGACAAAAATATGACTTGTTTTAAAAATTTCCAAAAAGTGACATATTCAGTAACTAGTTCTCAGTGACTCATCATCTATCAGTGACTTGTCACTGAAATAAAATATAGTGACTCTTTTCTAGTTATTTATACGTAGTGACTAGTCATATATTTGTTCAAAAAAAAAAACTACGCATAACTCTATTTATTTTAAATTCTACGACGTCGCTTTGATGCCACGGGAAAAAAATAAATCCTAAGGCCGATCGGGCCAGGATAGGCTCAACAGCCCAAATGAAACAAATAGACCCAGCCCCAAGTGCCCACTAGCCATTGGTCAACATCCAGCAGCGCAGATTATACGGTACACCCGTTTTTTTGTAATATATACCAACTTTAAGCCTTCGATTCTCTCATCCCTAATCTCTGAATTGTCGATCATCTTCCTCGCTCATTCATCCACATAGAATCGCTGGAGCTGGTAGGGGGAGAAGGCGAAGGAGCGGAGCTGGACTCTGCAGCTGCTCTGAGCTCTAGATAACTCAATTTCCTCTGTTATGCCCACATCAGAGCTATGGATAACTTGATTTCATCTGCTACGCCACACATTGGATCTCCAAAAATGCCTCTTTTTCTCTTGTTAAAAATGTGCTCCACAATTGTAGCGTTTTTTCAGAGCTTGCAACTTTCTCGTTTTCCCCTTTTAACTCACAGTTTTATATATTAATACTGAGCACATTAGAAATGAACTTTATTTTAAGCTCAAATGGGTAAAAAAACTAAAAAGAATGAACATACACAAATGAACTTCTGAATTTTGGATACTCATTTTGTAAGTTATATATGTTCATTTAGTACCTTTGTTATGCTCATTTTAAAATGTTATATCAATGCATATTTCAAAAGTCTCATATTACATTAGATTCACATAAGAGTTGATTATAGACACGAGACCACAAATCATGATACTCAATCGCACATTTTAATACTCAATAACGGAGGTTTGATACTCACTGAAAATGTCTTGATGCTCAACGAACAAAACTTACAATTTTCATATCAATGTTCATCTTAAGAAAAGTGAGTTTATGTGGTTGATATTGAATTGATAAAGTAAGAATGATGAAGAGCCACACAAATTTTACCAAATATGTTATGGGACAATCTTAGTGGGATTTCTCGAAAAAGTAAAATGGGACAATCTTAGCGGCACAGAGGGAGTAGCAAAGTAAACCTAGTCAATACTTTTGGGTTGCGAGCGATTTTTTTCTAGGGTCGCCGACTCAAGCAACGCGTAGCTTTTTGTCCGGTGGTGCTTCGCTCAGGCGAGTACGGCGCTGAGAAGGTCTTTGTTATTGGCTACAGGAGGAGATCACAAGGATGATTTTGGTAGGGAAGAGTCAATAAGCATCTTATCGTGGAATTGTAGAGCACTGTACAAGAAGATGGCGATTGGGGTAGAGGAAGAAGAACTAGATCTAGATGAAGCTGATGTTGAGGGTGTGGCGGATGAGCGGCGGACGCGTCCCCTCCTGAGCTGCCGCCATGGAGTGCAAGCAAGTCTAGAATTTGGAAGAAGATGAGTGAACTCTAGTTTAATTGCGTTTTATCCAGTTTACATTTTTCTGTCGAATTACATGTTGTTTTGGACGTGTTCTTTTTTTCCTGGCAGAGAAATTCTTAAATTTAGGTTAGGTGATGAGAAGTCTGGTTTGCGAGTCATTAGCTCAATTATGCCCATTACAGGATCAACGAATGTTATTGCTTCTACAAAGGTGATAGATTCTCGGTCTGGTTCAAGGGCAGACGACAGACATAAGGTTTTTTATGTTTACTTCTTTTTCCTTGTGACGAACGTTATTTTGATTTAATATATTAGTTGGATTTGATGATCAAAAAAATTGATTCTTAGGGGACCCAAATCAAGTGAACATCCATGTATACCCCATGGAATTTCAAACGGTGCTGGATGATTTTGATGAAGAAGGGTGGGAGGAAGAAATAGGAAGTATGAACGATGAAGGAGAAGAGAAGGTGTATGAGTGTGGAGGAGGTGAAGTTCGGAGAAGACTTTGAGGTGCAGTTTGTGCAGAACGATCTTGAGCCGGAGAGGAAGGTAAAATTGGCTCATGAGCTTGGCTTGCAATCCAGGCAGGTGGCCGTTTGGTTCCAATTTCCAAATGAATCGTTGCGTACACCGGAAAACGAGGTAGCTGGATCGGAGAAGAAGATGAATTGGGACTTAGGTGTGAAATAATTGAACAGAATGCTCTCTAAGGAACCCTGTCAGATATATTTATAATAGGAGAGTTTAATGTAAAGTAAAATACTAATGGTCTAATAATTCTATTACACCTCCTCAAGCTGTGTGGGAGAAACAACGCGCAGATTATCTTTCAAAAAATGAAAACGCTAAGTAGGTAGACTCTTAGTAAAAATATCTGCAAACTGTAGATGTGTAGGAACATGCTGAACGATCAGATCTCCATGGGCAACACGTTCACGAACAAAATGATAATCAATTTGGATATGTTTACTCCGAGCATGCTGGATAGGATTTGCAGTCAGATAGGAAGCTGAAATATTATCACATAATAGATGCACAGGTTCTGTGATGGGGTAGCCGAGCTCAAAGAGAACAGATCTGATGTGGAGTGTATCCTGAACGGTGTATGCAATAGCACGATACTCTGCCTCTGTGGATGATTTTGAGACGGTGGACTGCTTCTTGGATTTCCAAGAAATTAAATTAGGACCCAAAAAGACAGCAAAGTCAGTAGTGGACCGTGAGCTATCAGGACATCCAGCCCAGTCTGCATCAGAATAGGCAACAACACATGTGGGTCGAGTAGAACGTTGTAGCCACAACCCATGATCACGTGTCCCCTGCAAGTACCTGAAAATTCTTTTGACTGCAAGTAGATGAGTAGTACGGGGGGCATGCATGAACTGAGAAACTAAGTGTACTGCATAAGTAATATCTGGCCTTGTCAAAGTTAAATATTGTAACGCACCTACCATGTTGCGATACTCAGTAGAGTCCACCAGTAACTCACCATCAGAAAGAGACAGAGTAGTACGAGAAGCTAATTGTGTGCGAACGGGTTTAGCCGTATGAAGATGAAAACGTGTTATTAGATCAGAGACATATTTATGTTGAGAGAGAAACAGACCTTTAGGAGAACGAACTGCCTCAAGACCCAAGAAATAATGGAGATTACCGAGATCCTTCATGGCAAAATGTTTAGAAATAATAGAGATAAACTGGGTAACGGTAGACTGGGAGTTGCCAGTAATAATAATATCATCTACATATAGTAATAAATAAATGATAGAATTATTATGGCAATAAATAAATAACGAATTATCAGATTTACTACAGAAAAACTATGCTGAATTAAAAAGCTACTAAACCGATGAAACCATGCCCGTGGGGCTTGCTTAAGGCCATAAATGGCCTTGCGCAAACGACACATATGATTAGGAAATTGAGGATGAATAAACCCACGGGGCTGACGCATGTAGAATTCCTCTTTCAAATGACCATGTAAAAAGGCATTTTTAACATCAAGCTGACGAATAACCCAACCAAAAGATACAGCTAAGGTAAGTACAATACGAACTGTGGTGGGTTTAAAAACAGGACTAAAGGTTTCAGAAAAATCAATACCAGCCTGTTGATTAAATCCTTGAGCAACTAACCGAGCTTTATGACGTTCCACAGACCCATCAGAATGATATTTCGTTTTATAAATCCACTTACAGCCAACAATATTCTTAGTATTGTCAAAGGGCACCAGATCCCAAGTATTATTATTAATGAGGGCATTAAATTCATCAGCCATTGCTTCCCGTCATTTTAAATGTTTATTAGCCTCGGTAAAACAAGTGGGATCCGCAGAAATAACAACTGTACTGAGATTAAAAATGGGTTTAGGTTTGAAAATTCCTGCTTTGGCACGGGTTTGCATTGGATGCTGATTGAGGACCATCGGGGTGCAATGGAGGCGGATGACGGAGGGCTGGTCTCGGTGTGGGAAGAGTTGGGCTGGGAATAGGAATTGGGAGTGGTTGTCCTATTGTCAGATTCTGAAACAGAAGGGGTTGGACTCACGGTTAAGGACGTCGGGGTGGAGCAGGCTGACGGGGAAGGGGAAGAGGACGACAGTGGGTGAGATAGGGAAGGCGTTCTGGCGGTAGAATGCAAGAAGGACGGCGGAGAGCTGGGGAACGAGTGAAGTTGTCCTGCGGCTGAGGGTTGGGGAACGAGTGAAGTTGGAGCAGATGGTGTGGGTGAGGTGTTGGTAAGAGCCATAGGGGATGGTCGGTTAGGGGAAAGAGATGGAATAGGCTGCCTAATGGTTTTAAAGGGATATGTATCCTCGTGAAACCTTACATGACGACTAAGATACACACGGCCTGTAGTAGGATCCAAACAACGATAGCCCTTGTACCCCGGTGCATAGCCAAGAAAAACAAATTGAACAGACCTAGGTGAAAGTTTATTAGCTGAGGTGGCCGAAAAATTCGGATAACATGCTGACCCAAACACACGCATAAAAGAGTAGTCAGGAACACGGTGAAAAAGTTTTTGGTATGGAGAAAATCCCTTTAATGTGGGGGAGGGTAGTCTGTTAATGATATATGCAGCTGTAAAAATTGCATCAACCCAATAGTGACTCGGAAAGGAGGCTTCAAGAAGCATAGTTCGAGTTAATTCAAGAAGATGACGGTGTTTTCTCTCAGCCACCCCATTTTGTTGAGGTGTGTCAGGACAAGATTTTTAAAAATAAATTCCATTAGCTGAGAAAAATTGCTGCATATTATGATTAACAAATTCGCCTCCCCCATCACTTTGAAAAATTTTAATTTTATGATTAAAAAGATTTTCAACCAAAGTTTTAAAATTCTTAAAGTGCATGAAAACTTCACTTTTGTGACACATGGGATAAATCCAAGTAAATCGAGAATAATCATCAATGAAGCAAACATAGTACTTGAAGCCCAAATTAGAATAAATTGGAGACTGCCACACATGAGAATGAATAATTTGTAATGGAAAAGAAGAATTATGACTAGCATCCGTAAAGGGCAATCATTGTGATTTTCCTAATCGGCAAGCAACACACTCATGAGTAAAAGGGGAGTGACTACATAAGAATTGTCGAGGTTTAAGAAATTACAAAATACTATCTCCACAGTGACCTAATCTACGATGCCACACAGGGCCAGAAGCTAAAACCGAAGCTAAAACTAAGGATGGAGATGATGGCAGATGCAGAGGATAGAGTGGCCCACTACTGGAAGCTCGCAGAAGAATTGCCCCCGAGGCTTTGTCCTTAATAAAAAAAGATTTTTTATAAAAAATGACAGTACAGTTATTATCTGCGCAAAGTCTTTGAATTGAAATTAAATTATATTTTAACTGAGACACATGATAAACAGATTTTAGGATGAGAGAACGACCAGAAGAAGGTAATGCAACATTACCAACATGACAAATGGGTAAATGGACACCATCAGCAACACTAACAAAATTATAGCCAGTGTAAACAGATTTATTTTGTAAAATACCTTCGGATGCAGTCATGTGAGCCGAAGCCCCCGAATCAGGAAACCATAAAGCGGGGTTAGACTCTCCAGGAGTAGTCAACAGAGCTAGACTGGATGGCTGAGTGAAGCGAGAGGGACAAGTAACCGCAGAATAACCTGCAAAAAAGCAAATTTGACACACAACGGGATGGGGAACAGAACCAAGAATACCCCCGTCTGATGGTAAGCCTGTAGAACTGGAATTAGTAACACCAACATGCAATGCATTAATATTTAAATGAGACATAGCAGAATTACAAATAACAGTATCCGTAGTCGGCACACCCCCTGCATGTGGAGAATACCCGGCTGGAATCGAAGGAGCACCCCTTGCCGGGGCATAGCCCGGCTGCCCCTGCTGCGGATACCAATACATGGGCTGCCCATATTGAACCCCCTGTTGTCCTTGTCCACGCCCACGACCACCGCGTCCCCTGCCATGACCGCGACCGTGGCCGCGTTGCGGCTGGCCGTGTGGACGTTGCTGCTGTGTTCCCGGCTGTTGAGGTCCCTGCGGTTGCTGGCCCGCCGGCTGGAACCCTGCGGCAATAACACCGAAGGCCTGGTGCATTGATGATGACTCCTGGGAGTGAAGGTAGAGAACTCGCTACTCTAGCTCAAGAAGATGATTGCGTAGGGTCTCAAAAGGAAAATTTTGGGGAAAAAGCGAGACAGTGGTTAACAGGGACTCATACTCAGGTCCCAACCCCATAATAGTAGTTTTGAGCACTTCACGAGGAGGGACAGGGCAATTAATTGTAGCAAGATCATCAACCAAAATTTTAATCTCCCGTAAATAATTATCCATAGATTGATGAGGTTTCTTTTTAATTTGAGAAAATAAGCGCTTTAATTCCATAGATCTGGCCAAACTGGCTGACATAAACCGAGACTCTAACCGTTCCCAAATTTCACAAGAGTGTTTTAAATCCCGAACATCAATGAGAACATCACGAGAAAGAGTGACAAATAACCATGAGCGAATTGTTTGATCAATTCGTAGCCAAATAGAAAAATCGGGATTGTGAATTTGACGGTTGAGCATATCTATGGAATAAGCAGGAGGTACCTGAATAGAGCCGTCAACCATGCCAAGAAGACCTTGTGAGACAAGAAAGGACTCAAACCGGGTACACCAAGTAGTATAGTCTTCCACTGCGAGGAGTTTGTGGTAACAATATTGGTGACATTAGTAGCCACACGAGAGATGTTGTGTACCAGGTCTGCCAAGGGGGAACCAGCTGTACCGCCCACGGTGGTCCGAGGAGGTGGTAGAGTAGAGGAGACTCCCGGTGATCCAATGAACGTGGGTCCAGAAAAAGGCCCGACCGAAAGGGGGGGCGGATCCAAGGACATCCGCTGCACTGGAGTGGGTGCTGGCCAGGGAAACGCCGGAGGCATGGTCGGAAAAAGGGAAGAAGGCACGCCAGTCCGACTGGGAGATGCAAAGGGAGAGATGGCCGGTTGCGTTCCAAACTGAAGTGGAGCGCCGATCGAAAGGGGAATTCCTGCCGCGACGGAAGAAGACGACAAGCCGGCGGCGGAAGAGACCACCACGGACGGCGCTGCGGAAGTAGCTGGCGTGGAGGATGAAGACATCTTCGGCGGCGGCACTAGAGAGAGAATCGAAAAAATATTAGGGTTTTTAGAATGTTCTAAAGTACAATATTAATGGGATTATCAGGAAGAACATGTTCGCAAGGATAAATTTGTTTCTTCATTGAAATAATCAATTTCAGCCCATATTAGCAAAATCAAAGGAAGCACTTCTCGTACCACAAGTCCCAAGTTCGGCTGCACCCACCTCACGCCGCTGCAGCCCCGCACGCCACCTGCCATTGCTGCCTGGTAGTCTACCTATCACTTTTCAGCTCGCTGGGAGTTTTGGGTGCCATCTGCAATTGTGCTAATCGTTCCAGCAGCCCCAGCGGGTAAGTTAAGTGTTTATTCTTTAATTATTTAATTTTAATTTCCGTATCTAATAGCGTGAAATTGAAATCTCGATTCTTGACTGTTTGAGTGTTTTACTAATATGAATTTGTAAAAATGTAAAATGTCTATTTGTTTTACTATTGGTGAACAATTTGTGTCATTGTGTAATTTCATTTTCATTTGTCAAATTGAAAATTAGGATTGTGAAATTAATACTCCCTAACATATTAACAAGAATTATGTGACTCAAAATTATATATTGCTTATTTATTATTTGATTGTGAATTTAAGTAGGTATGACTACTCAATCTACTTATAAAAACGTAACATAACATTGCGTTCGTACAAGTATAGAAAACAGACAAAAGTTACATAATTTTCATGTGTCCCAAAATGGGAATTAGACATGAACATTTACATTTTCTCTATGTTTTGATTCTGTATAGGGCAATCATGAATTCATGCTCTTTATTATCAATATTGGAAAGTTCCTTGAAAGCTAGAAAGAAATCCCTGCCTGAAAAGTCTTTCAAATTGTGACCTTTTGGTTCATCCTGAAGAGTAATGAAGACATAACAAGGGTGAATTGCTCTTCTGTGGATGAATACTTGATTGTTTAAATTGTATTTTGTTTTTTAATGAATGAGCATATACTCCAGTGTCAATTTAATTTCTTAATATTAACCAACCCAATGATGATTGATTTAGTTGATGACATTACTAAATTGAAAGTTATGAGTTTCGTTCTAAATGAATAGATTTGTTGATGCGTACTGAACACAATACATATGAAGAGGAGTAATATGATGACAACCCGCCTTCAGCCAATTCCCTCAGGCATCTTCTTTTCTTCCGTCGCCGCTCTCTTTTCTATCTGCTACTTCTCTCTTCCACCTTTTTTTTGGTTTTGGGTGCTCGTGATTCCATTTTGTTTTGTTTCTAAATGTTTTTTTTTTTCAATTTCCTTTTCGAAATTGTAATTTTTTACTCATGCCAGTAACAACATATATTCTGTTTTACTAGATTTACTTCCCGGTGAAGCTCGACCCCGATTTGTTAAACTTCTCTCATTTCACAACACCGGTCAACTCAAGGGAAAATAAACATAAAATATAAAGTGATGAATGTGAATTGGCTTTGTCTCGCAAACGTTGCACCTGCTGAAAAGTGTACTACTCAAAAAAGGAAATAGGTCTCCCAAATCACCTTAAATGACGACATGCTAAGATTCAAGCTACAACTAAGACTCACAATGATGTGCTCCCCATTGAAGAACCCAATATTTTTTTATAACGATTGACATTGTTATTAACACTATTATAACGATTGTCATTTTTATAGCATTGTCACGACAATTCACATGCTTTGACAATGTCATTGTTATACAGTGACATTGTGATATATAATGACATTATAATACATTATTTTTCCATAAAAATTATATTTTATAGCTTTGGCATTAGTTTTAACAATGTCATTTTCATAATGATTGACATTCTTATGACATTGTCATCGTGATTAATTGATATTACAACATTTTTTCGACGTTGTGACTTTTTTTAATAAAATTAACACTATCATAATATCTATTGACATTATCATAATTACAATGTCATTTTATAGCATCAACAATGAGATTGCCATTGTGACATTTTCTTGACCTGGTGACATTTTTATATATTGACATTGTCAAGATAACAATGACACCGGAATAGACATTTTCATTGTCATTGACAATGACATTGCCATTTTTATGATGTTGTGACATTGTGTGATTATAAACATTCAAGAGAAAAGGGTCAAATAGATCCTCGAACTTACATAAAAAGATCAAATAAGGCCTTATTCATAAGGCTCTGTCCGGCCGTCGCCATTTGAGGCGGTTTCCGGTGGAATTTTTTGATGAAATTTTTTGAGCATTTTATTCATTAAGTCTAGTTTATTCATACCAACTTTCAGCTAAAACTTCAATCCGGAAGGCATGCAAATTCATTCTTGAAGATATCTGCGCTTTTAACTGCGCAGTTATCTTCAAGAATTAATTTGAATGTCTTCCCGATTGAATTTTTAGCTGACATTTGGTATGAGTGAACTAGACTTAATTAATAGGATGATCAAAAAATTTCATCAAAAAATTCTACCGGGAGCCGCCCTAAATGATGACGGCCGGATAGAGCCTCCTAAATAAGGCCTTATTTGACCTTTTTATTCAAGTTCGAGGACCTATCTCACCCTTTTCCCAACCTTAGATTAAGTACCTACACTTCAAAAAACATCTTAAATCAATGTAGTCGGTATGAAACATGTTTCCAAGTGAGTTTGAATAGGTGGCAACCCATGAAGCCTAGTGACCTACACAACTACCACATCATCTAAATAAGATTTATTTAATTTAATGGGAAATACTCTATGGTCTTTTTCCAATATGACACTTTTAATATTTCATTGTCAATTGAAAATAATTTCCAAATTAATGAATGGATCCAGAATATTACTTACATTAAATGAATCTGCAAAATAAAATAAAAATAAAAAATTGAAACGATGCGGCAATCTGTAACGAGTGCACCTGCTAAGGGAAATAAAGAAAATATTGTTGGGGCCCAAGCTCAAAGTTACGGGATCACAGAGGCTGGAGAGAAGCGTAGCACATGGATCAAAATAACAAACACAAGGCTGAAGGATTTTGTCGTTTAGCAGCATGTAATATATTAGCTATGCATTGTTCCAAAAGGCAGAATATCCCACCCTAGGAGTCCCCCACACCCCGACCCGACAGGATTTTTGAGAGGATATAAGTCACGGTGACTCAGTCGGCCCAATCATGGTAGGCTTTTTACCCGTGCGCATCAGAGATCCAACCCAGCACGCAAGAGCTGTAACTTCTACACGGCCGCTGCGAGTTTTGAACCTTGGTCATTGTTCCAAATTTCCCACCACTACTGAACCAACCGAGCTACCCATGCGGGTATATATTAGCTATGCAAGGGTGATGGTTAGGCAGGAAATATCTGACTTCTCTCTCTTCTTCTCTAAGAAGTTTCTCGCTACTTTATCCTGTAATTCCTCCATGTCTAGACTGCTATTACTTTCTTGTTATCGATGGAAATGCTTACTATAAAAATAATCTAAATTGCCCTCATCATATTTGAGTTGTTTTTACACTATTAATCTGCTGCGATCCTCATAATCGTAACATTTGGTGCTTTCATCCTTCGAACTCATGGCGGAGGGCACTAGGATTAAAGAGCTTGTCGCAAGCATGAACAAATTGATGGAGATGTTAGAGGCGGACAAGCTTGATAACAGAGCTCGATTTGAAACATTGGAAAATGAAGTTGACGCCTTGCTGAAGCAGAACTTGGAGCTGGGTGCAAATCGGATAGGTAATGTTTCAGGTAACCATTCTGATGGAGGATCTTCTTCGCACCAACCATTTCAGGTGCGTAATGTGAAGCTAGATTTTCCTCGTTTCGATGGATCTGGAGTTTTACAATGGATTTTCAAGGCTGAGCAATTCTTTGACTATTACAACACTGCTGATAATCAACGACTTACCATAGCAACGATTCATATGGAAAAGGAGGTCGTTCCTTGGTTCCAAAATGACTAATAGGCCTACTCCCTTCCAGTCTTGGATTGATTTTACCTGGGCTTTAGAACTGGAGTTTGGCCCTTCACCCTATGAAAGTCCGAGATCACTGTTATTCAAGTTGTCACAAGTAGGCTCCGTTCAAGAGTACTCAATTCACTGCTCTGGCCAACCATGTACAAGGCGTAGGTAGAGAAGCCTTACTCGATTGCTTTGTTGGAGGACTTAAATGATCTGGCCATATGGTTTCACTGCTCTTGTATACTCAAGAAACCATAGGGCTTTGAACGCCATAACCATGTACAAGTTGAAACTATGGCTTCACTGCCCTTAAGGCTTCTCTACCGACGCCTTGACCATATGGCTTCACTGCTCTGGCCAACCAAGTAATAGTCTATTTTAATCTCCTATCATCTTGGTCAAGAAGAAGGATGCCACATGGCGGTTTTGCCCAAACTATAGGGCTTTGAACGCCATAACCATAAAAGACAGTTTTCCCATTCCAACTGTTTATGAGCTTTTGGATGAATTATTTGGCTCCAAATACTTCTCCAAACTGGACCTTAGGTCCGGGTACCACCAAATCTTAGTCGCGGAGGAGGATAGACACAAAACTGCTTTCAGAACTCACCCAAGACATTATGAATAGTTAGTAATGTCTTTTGGGCTTACCAATGCTCCGACAACATTTCAGAGCTTAATGAATGAAGTTTTCAAAGACTTTCTTCGGAAATTCGTTTTGGTTTGTTTTGATGATATACTAGTTTACAGTTCAACTTGGGAAGAACATCTTTGACATTTAGAAAAGGTCCTGCAGTTGCTTCAGAAACATCAGTTATTTGCCAAGCTGTCTAAATGCTCTTTTGGGATGAAACAGGTGGATTACTTGGGTCATATAGTTTCAAGTCAAGGGGTGGCAATGGACAATGCTAAGGTGCAAGTGGTTCTAGACTGGCCAACTTCGGGTAACATCAAACAGTTAAGGGATTTTTTAGGGCTCACTGGATATTATAGAAAATTCATTAAATCATATGCTAGTATTGCGGATCCGTTGACGAATTTGCTGAGAAAAGATAGTTTTGTATGGGGCGAAGAGGCAAATGAAGCTTTCATCAATTTGAAAGAAGCTATCACTAAAGCCCCAGTTTTGGCATAGCCAAACTTTTCAAAACCTTTCACCTTGGAGACAGATGCATCAGGTGTAGGGGTTGGGGCTGTGATCAGCCAAGAAACTCATCCTGTTGCTTATTTCTCAAAGAAACTTAATACTAGCATGCAAAGGCAATCGACCTATGCTAGCGAGTTTTATGCGATTACGGAGGCAGTAGCAAAGTTTAGGCACTACCTATTGGGCCACACATTTATTATCAAGACTGACCAGAATAGTTTGAGATCCATCACTGATCAAGCCATTCATACACTGGTGCAGCGAAATTGGATACACAAGTTGATGGGTTATGATTTCAGCATTGAATATAAGCTTGGGAAAGAAAATATAGTTGCCGAATCACTGTCTCGATGTTTCCTATTAGCATTCTCCCAACCTAATCTGGAATTGATCCCAGAATTAAGGAAAGAAATAACACAAGATTCACAATTGAGTAGTGTTCTACAACTTTGTTTCCAAAACATGCCACCTAATGCAAATTACTCAGTAGTGGATCAATTATTGTGTTGGAAGGGTCGACTGGTTTTATCGAAGGGGCATGTATTAGTTACGAAGATTATGAGAGAGTTTCACAGTACCAAATTGGGAGGACATGCTGGTTTCAGAAGAACATTACACAGAATAGCATCTCAACTCTTTTGTCAAGGAATGCATAAGGATATCAAGGAATTTGTGCAAAAGTGCCTTCTCTGTCAACAGGCTAAACATGATACAGATACAGCCTGACCTTCTGGATTGCTGCAACCATTACCCGTTCCAACTCAAATCTGGGAAGACATAGCTATGGATTTCATAAATGACCTTCCAGCTTCCAATGGACATACAGTCATTATGGTCGTCATTGATAGGCTCTCTAAGTATGCTCATCTTGCTAGCTTGAAGTCTGATTTTAATAGCAAACAAGTTGCAGAGTTGTTCATTAAAAATATAGTCAAGCTGCATGGTTTTCCAAAGTCAATAGTATCCGATCGAGATAAGGTCTTCACTAGTCAATTTTGGCAACATTTGTTTAAATTGAGTGGCACATCATTGAAACTTAGCACTGCTTACCATCCTCAAACAGATGGTCAGTAAGAGGCTTTAAATAAATGCATTGAGATTTATTGAAGGTGCTTCACATTTGACAATCCAAAAGAGTGGGGTAAGCTATTGACATGGGCTGAATATTGGTATAATACTGCTTACCATCAAAGTATCGGACTGACTCCTTTCAAAGTGGTGTATGGGCGAGAGCTAGGCCTGGGATCGGTTCGGTTCCGCTTAAAAATTGATGGAATCGTTTATAATAATGTAACTCTTAAATTCAGGTCGGTTCCGATAAAAAAAATCGAGAACCGTTTGAGAACCGAATGATGTGTAAACGGTTCGGTTCTGGCTTTTTTCGGTTCCTATTTTTTTCTTTCTATACCTTGAAAATTAACTTTTTAAGTTATGTTATTTAAACAAAAGTAGTTGAATTTATGATTTTTACAAGGCTCGCAAAAACATCCAGATTCATACATTCCACATAATTAAAATATGAAAGTTCAAACATACACAAAACATAAAAGTTTGAACATAATAATCTCAAACATTAGTAAACAGAACACATAAGACATTAATTAAGTTGAGTTCATAATTCAGTTCACGTGAAACATGTAGTTAGCAAAAAGCTTTAGATTTCCAAGAAGTTTCAGTTGCAAAAATGCAAATGTAGTGTAACACGTCCAACGCCAATCATGCAATAAAAACACTAAATCGGTTTTAAAGTAAATAACTACAATACAAGTTTTTTATTATTGTTTCAGCATTTTATATGCAAAATGCCTTAGAAACTTGGATATGTGCACAGTTGATATTAGCTCAACTTGGATATGTTCACAGTTGATATTAGTTCTGTAGTCCTAATTTATATCTTTGTGCTATTTTGTCAAGTACAGAGTTTATCTTTGTGCACAGTTTATATCTGATTTATTTTAAAAAGAAAATGAATTGTGTAGACTAAGCCCTACACAATCATCCATTCGAAGGACTCCTTAAAGTTTTCAGTTGTAATCTTAATATTATTTGTCTTAAAAACCTCTTAGAATCATCAACATCATAGCTATTTTATGAATTCATAAAAATGCACAAATATGAAGTTTTACCAGCCTGGCCATCTTCCACTTTTAAGTTTCAAACGTGATTTACTGTTTTTCTTTATGTTAACCAAAGTTTAGTTCAACTTTATTTTCAGCAAATTCAAATTCAAGAGCCTCGTCTTCAATTTAGTGTAAGTATTACACTATTTTACAATAGAAGGTAGCATGTAGGAAACCAACTAACCTACAAAAGTACTTGATAAATATGGTGTTGCTTTTCCTCCATCATGTTTTCTGCAATTTTGAGGCTTTGAGGGGCTTTGCTGCCTTTTCTGCAGCACTCTTCTCTCTTTTTTTCTTTTTCATCATTTTCATGTTCTGCAATAATAAAGATTTATATAACACTTTAGTATTAAGGGCAGAAATAAATAGGATTTAGAGTTCAGAATAACAAATAACAAAGTAAAGTGTGTGTCACAATGTCAGTTACTCAAACATACCTTTCTCTACCATTTCAACCCACAACATTTCCTTGGGTGTCGGACTGTACTCTAATCCTTGAATACTATCGGATTTTAGCCAATTTTGGAGGCAAATTAAAGCCTCCACAGTTCTGGGAGTTAATGAACTCCGGTGTGGATCAATCACCCTCTTTCCAGTTCTGGGATTTGGAATCGGAAAACCGGGAAAACCGACCCGAATCGAACTGAGATCACCGAACCGAAATCACCGGTTGAATTCATTAACTCCCAGAAAGCCTCAAGTGTCTGGACTGCTATTACTTTCTTGTTATCGCTGGAAATGCTTACTATAAAAATAATCTAATTTGCCCTCATCATATTTGGGTTGTTTTTACACTATTAATCTTATGCCATCCTCATATCGTAACACCATCCCTTCTGATTGGCTGACTACTACAGTGCTACTAGCACTAAGACTACTAAGACAACTCACGAAAGAGTAGGGAGATGTATACCAGGCATACGGCACAGAAAAAACTCGCTAACAGGGAGGAAGAGAGGGAGAAAGGAGGAGGAGGAGGAAAAGGGCTACGGCGAGGAGGATCGGAGGAGGAGACTACCCACCAAACTACCGTCAGCGACTGCTTCGGTGATGAGTCGCTCCGGCGATAACCTGGCGGCAACCAGCGGTGAACCACAGTGAATAATCACTCTGTTGAATTCGTTTGTTAATTCCGGTCATTATTGTTCGTCAAATTGCCGGCTCTGTGTGACCTTCGCCATTCGGGGCGGTTCCTGGTGAAATCTTTTGCGCAGTTACCTTCAAGAATTCATTTGAATGCCTTCCCGATTGAAGTTTTAGCTGAAATTTGGTATGAGTAAACTAGACTTAATGAATAAGATTTTCAAAAAAATTCATCAAAAAATTCCCCCGGGAACCTCCCCAAATGGCGACGGCCTGACAATAAGGACTTATTTGACCCTTTTTATGCAATTTCGAGGACCAATCTGACCCTTACCTCGTTATCAGACATGCAAAAGTCGATGGTTGCATTGCTGGTGAGAGCAGAATTTGTTGGAAACTTAAATATGAAAGGGCATTTTTGTCCCTCTGTTCAAATTTAGTCATATTTAGGGGTTTAAAACTCTTAAGTCCTACTCCGTATTTAAGTTCCAAGCCCTTCTTTTGGTCCTATTTAAGTCTATCTCCCTTTTATTAATTATATTTATATGTATTTTTTCTTCAGTTTCCCCCTCTTATACCAGTTATTGGACATAGGGCTGTTCTTGGATTATCTGGTTATGTGCTCAATAATATTGCATTTGCCTTAGCTGCTCTGTTTCTTTACAGGTAACTATAAGTCCAAAAGGTTGAATCCCCAACCCCAAGGGCCCCCCACCCCGACCCGACAGGATGGTGGGGGAGTAAATCACGGTGACTCAGTCGGCAGAGCGGCAGTAGGCCTTTACCCGTGCGCACCAGAGGGCCAACCTTATTTCAGGTTCTGAAAACCCCCTTTTGGCCGTTGCGGGATTCGAACCTTGGTCTACGTCCAATTTTTCCCACCGCTCGACCAACTGAGCTACCCGTGCGGGTTTTACAGGTAACTATAGATTTGACCAATGTGTGACAATAACTTTTAATGCTAATGTATTTAACTTGCATAACTATTCAAATGGATTCTTCTCTATTTCCATGTGATCGTAGGCTTTCAGTAGCTGTTGTGAAGGACTCGGAGCTAGCACTGAGATCTTCAATACTGTTTTGCTTTAATCCTGCTTCCATTGTTACTCATCAATGTATTATGTGTGAGAATAAATATGGAAGCGTAGCTCAATGGTAACCTCGGGAGTATTATTTATAATAAAAGAGTCCAAGATACATCAAGATTCCTACTATAATTAGATAACCTAATTAATATTAATAAATACATTATTACACCCCCTCAAGCTGTGCAAGGGAAACAATGCGCAGATTGTCCCGAAGAAAAGTGAAGCGCTGTGGAGATTATTAATCTGTAAATCATCATGGGCTACCCGTTCACGTACAAAGTGATAATCAATATTAATGTGTTTGATGCGAGCAAGCTGAATAGGATTTGCAGATAAGTAAGAAACAGAAACATTATCACACAAGAGCTGAACCGGTTTGGCGATGAAGATGCCCAACTCGAACAAAATAGAACGAATGTGAAGAGTATCTTGAACAGTGTAGGCTATAGCACGATATTCTGCCTCCGTAGAAGATCTGGAAACTGTGGGTTGTTTCTTGGACTTCCAGGACACCAAATTTGGCCCGAAAAAAGTAGCAAACCCAGACGTGGACCTGCTGCTGTTTGGACATCCTCCCTAATCAGCATCTGAATAAGCCAGTATAGTGGATGTCGCAAAACTGGGCTGTAGAAGTATCCCAAAATCAGATGTCCCCTGCAAGTACCTGAAAATACGCTTAACAGCCAAAAAATGTGTAGTACGGGGAGCATGCATAAACTGGGAAACCAGGTGAACAACATAAGTAATATCAGGTCGAGTCATGGTTAAATATTGTAGTGCTCCAACCAGACTCCTATACTCAATGGGATCTGCTAACAGATCACCATCAATTAGCGAAAGCTTGGTACGAGTGGGAAGAGGAGTACAGACAGGCTTAAGGGTATGAAGATGAAACCGAAGTAACAAATCAGACACATATTTGTGTTGGGAAAGAAAAAGGCCACGAGGTGTATGGAGTGCTTGGACACCGAGAAAAAAATGCAGGTTACCCAAATCTTTCATAGCAAAGGATTTATTAAGACGAGATATAAAAGAATTAATAAAAGATTGGGAGTTGCCTGTAATAATGATGTCATCAACGTAGAGAAGGAGATAAATAATGTGCACGCCATGGTTATAAATAAACAAGGAATTATCTAAATGACTACAAAGAAAACCATGCATTAATAGAAAACTACTAAAACGATAAAACCATACACACAGTGCTTGTTTAAGCCCATAAATTGCTTTGCGAAGATGACAAACATAATGAGGGAACCGAGGATGAACAAACCCAAGAGGCTGACGCATATAAACCTCCTCCGTAAGGTGACCATGAAGGAACGCATTTTTAACATCCAACTGACGGATTTGCCAGCCAAATGAGACAACTAAAGTGAGAACAAGACGAATTGTCATGGGTTTAACGACCAGACTGTATGTTTCCAAAAAAAATCCACACCTGCCTGTTGATTAAAGCCTTGAGCAACCAGACGCGCCTTAAACCGCTCAATGGAACCATCAGAATTAAACTTTGTTTTATAAATCCATTTCGACCCGACCACATTCTGACTAGTATTGGGAGGGACTAATTCCCAAGTGTTATTATTAATAAGTGCATTAAATTCCTCGACCATGGCCGCTCTCCATTTAAAATCTCTGTTAGTCTGAGAAAAACAAGATGGATCACATGCCACAATATCTGTTTTTAAATTAAAAATCTGTTTCGGTTTAAAAATCCCAGATTTGGAACGAGTTTGCATGGGATGACGGTTTAAAGGTGGAGGGGTGGTGGCTGAGGTTGATGGTTGGGCAGAAGGGGATATAGGCGGGGATGTTGGTGGGCTGTGCGTACTGGAGGGCAAGGTGGGCGAGGGGCAGGGGCAGGAGGTGTTCGGACTGTGAACGTGTGCAGTGTGGGAATCGGTGGGCTGGTGAAGAGTGTCAGTCACGGAGGGAAGGTCCAGGAGGGGAGCTGGTGTGATGAAGGTGCGGCAGTAGCTGCCAGTGGACTGGTGGGTGAAGACATCGACGACGCAACGGGCCAGATGAGTGCATCAATGGAAGGACATGTGGAAGTATATATGAGCTCATAATAAGGAAAATGAATTTCATGAAAGCGCACATTCTGATTAATACTCCCTCCGTCCCTAAATAAAAGCATCTGTTTCCTTTTCGGGCCGTCCCTAAATAAAAGTTCCCTTTCCTTTTTTGGCAAACAAAACAGTGCAAAACAATGCAAAACAGTGCCAAACAACGACATCCTTTTTATTCAGGAGCATATCCTAAAAATACACACAATACCGATCTAGAAGAGAACTTATTTGCAGAGGTGGCATTAAAATTAGGAAAATAGGCACATTCAAAAATGCACATAAAGGAGAAGTCTGGAGGATGATGAAATAATTTTTCAAAGGGAGACAAACCATTTAAATTAGGAGAAGGGAGGCGATTAATAATATAGGTAGCGGTGTAGACGGCGTCAACCCAGAATATAGCCGACAAATTTGCTTCAAAGAGGACAGTTCGGGCTAATTCTAAGAGATGCCGATGTTTACGTTCAACGACCCCATTTTGCTGGGGAGTGTCAGGGCAAGATTTTCTAAATCGAATGTCATTCTGTAAGAAAATAGTGCGCATACCAATATTATCAAACTCACCCCCTCCATCACTTTGAAAAATTTTAATCTTACGGTCTAGTAAATTCTCCACCATTAATTTAAAATTTTGAAAGTAACGAATGACTTCATCTTTACGGCGCATTGGATACAACCAAGTAAAGCGAGAAAAATCATCAATAAATAAAACATAATATTTAAAACCAGATTCAGATAAAACAGGAGATTTACACACATCTGAATAAATTAAATATAACGGTACTGTAGACTTATGAAAATTTTCCTGAAAAGGTAAGCGTTGAGATTTGCCTAAACGACATGAAGTACAGCCATGAGAAAAATTTGACGTGCTGAAAATAGAGCCAGATTTCTTGAGCCTATCTAAAATGCGACTTCCACAGTGTCCCAAACGTCGATGCCAGACCGGACCAGGTGCAACATGAGTACTAAGTGCGAGAGGCGTGGAAAGAGTAATAGGGTAAACCCCACCGTCACTGGAAGACCGCAGAAGAACCTTCCTCGTGGGTATGTCCTTTACAAAAACGGAATTTTTATCAAAAATAACTAAACATTTATTATTATATTTAATCTGAGGAACATGATTGACTGATTTTAAATGGAGAGGCCTAGATAATGACACATACTAGATGATGACACATATCAACAGTGGCAACCGGTAAATTAGACCCATTAGCAACCGTGACAGAAAGTGATCTAGAAGAAGAGGATTTATTAGACAAAATACCTTCATGAGGGGTCATATGTGAAGATGCACCGGAGTCAGGAAACCATACGGCAGATGTGGATTCACCAGTAGACACGGCTAAAGCAGGATTGGATGCTTGAACAAAACGGGATGAACAAGTGACAACAGAATGACCTGGAGAATGACAAATTTGGCAGACAACAGGAGGAGGAACAGTACCAAAGCTATGCTCAAAAGATGGGGAGCCTGCAAAGACACAATTAGTAACAGAAGTAGATAAAGCATAACTAGTATAATACCGTGACACAACAGAACTACCTACAACTGTACCTGACTGTCCCGGAGACTGAGATGGGCGCCTGGCATACTGTCCATAAGGTGAGGGCGAATAAAAGCCATATGCCGGAGGAGGCCTGCCGTACTGTCCACCACCAAAAGGAGGACGCTGGCCATAGTTCCGTCCGCCACGGCCACAGCTACGACCTCCCCGACCTCTCTATCCGCGTCGGCCACCACGGCCTCTCTGGCCGTACTGCTGCTGCAGGGGCGGTGCTCCTCTAGGCGCTGCGGCAGGTTGTGG